TAATACGGCACAGGTTACCGAGTTTGCCGTTTTCCGGTAACTTTTATGTAAAATTCTAGATAGAACTTAGGTACACTAGATGGTGACACATATCGTTTTATATATTTATCTCTTTTGTTTTCTACCTGATGAATCACTTTAAAATATCTTCTATACAATAATATATGCACAACAGAAATTAAGTGATGAGATGAAAATGTGTTATAACAGCGTGTAGAAAGAACACCAATAAAATGGACCTACAATATTATTGACTATTTGCAAATAGTAACAATGGAGACGAGGTAATAAAATAAATATGAATTCCTCATAACCTCTGAATAATGGGTGACCCAACGGGTTGTCTAGTATACCATAAATGTCCAGATGTTTAAAATATGATTAACTCCCATTGCAACACGGACCCACTTTAATTATGAGAATTCTTCATGAACAATAATATTATCACTTTAGGTATGTTGATAGAAGTTTAAACTGTCTTAAACTACATACATACACATGATGCAATTTCCTCAGTGCATTACTTGTATAACCGTATTAAGTAATATTTCTTTCTTTCTTTGGCTACATCTTAGAGCATGTTAATCTGTAATTGTTTTTATTCACTCTTTTTAGTGTGGCTCAGTCTTTTCTCAACTTAAGCACTATCAATTAATATTCTCAAATCTGCAAAAATTAAGGCACTTTAGCAACATTTACATGCTTTCCATTTGTGTTTGACATCCTGTTTTATATATCTAATAAAGAAACCTAGTCTGTAACTCAGTCAATTTTTAATGATATGTTACTGCAGTATTTTACTGACAAATAGGCATTAAATTGAGCATTGTACTTATAAGATAAACTATTTGTTTCACAACAAAATGAAAGGTGGAAAAAAAAGATAAATTCTTGTAATTTAGGGAGGAGAGTCTCCGGATGTGAGAGTGAAATTTGGCAGAGAAATCCTCTATATTGACAGCTGGTGTAAAAAACGACAGTATGATGCCCTGTGTTATGCTCTAGGTTCTGGAATGAATTTACATCTCAAGGTTAGTTAGCACATTCAGGAGTAGAGCATTAATATTTATTATCATTCATAAATAGAAGAGTATTTAATCAATTGGTGGAGTAACAATAAGAAATTCAGTTAGTGTTAGAGGTACTAAAACACAGATGAAGAAGGAACATCAGCAACATTTAGGTTGGCACAGTTTAAAGGAAAGAATAATTAAATATGTAAATATCAATGAGAAAACTAACTAAAGTAAGTTAACATCTGTATAAAAGAAGCCAGGGCACAGTTTGACTTCTCAAAGTAGATGGAATATTCTTTACATGGTCCATTTTATCATGTTTGTGTACTCTATCACAATGTTAACCTTCTAAATATAGATATATATATATAAAAATACACTTTTTCATTCTGTCAAAGTAAAAATATTTTGTTCGGCTCTTAGTTTAACAACAACAAAAAGTTCAAAGTGTGAAGATAGAGCAAAATTATTTTTCTTTCTCTTAAAATTTTAAGTTATCATAACTAATGTGTTTTCTTGAAAAACCACTTATGTTCAATGCAATGAAATCTTTCAAGCAATATTTGTAAACACCAAAGTTTTCACTTAATAAACAAGTATAAGAAATTCAATGTATTAAAAAATGCATAAATATAAATGTAAAAACTGATAAGAAACAGCCATTAAAATCTTCTTGGTTTGGGCTAACCAATCTCAAGAACTGAGAAAAAGTAATACTCAGTTTATTTAAGTTTTTATTTTTTATTATTGTAGAAGAATAATTAAAGCTGTATTTTTCAACTCTAGTGTGGTATTGGTGAGACACCATTTTGAAGAACATTAAAAATACTGTTCTTAGAATTTCAATTTTTTTTTATCAAAAAAGTTTCATTTTATATATTTGGTCAGTTTGATTTAAATGGATATTTTCTAAAATTTCTTTTGGTATTTTATTTTACCAATTACAAAAGTCATGGCACCTTATCTTTCGAGGTAACATTTCTGTTTTCTTTTAGAATAAAAACTTAAGTCTCAACTTTCAGGCTGATAACAGCCCTTTTTTCAGAGACAAAATTTTTATTCTTTTGTAATTATCACAATGTTTAGATCCTTTTTATTTCTACTTTTTAAATTTTTTCATTACTTTGAAGTTACTATTACCTTTTCCAGGCTAGGTAGCAATATTTTTGCTAACAACACTCTTGGTTGAGATAATTTTTATGCAAGTAATATAACATGTCTGTAGTCCACCCCCCAGAAGGATTGTGCTTTTGTCATTTCACTTCTTTAAAGACTTTGGACAAACCATTTTTAAATCCTAGCTATTACCCTGATTTCTGTGAAATGTCTTTTTTTTTTCTCATAATTTTTAATAAACTTTCTTTTCTTAAAGTAATTTTGACTACAATTGACAACTGGTTTGGGAATATTCATAATCATGCATGAATTGTTAACTGGCAAAAAAACATTCCAATGTCTCTTGATGATCACTGACTAAACACTAGAACTTGCTGGATTTTGGTCAGCTAGCCATTAGTAATTGAGACCTAAATTGTCTTTTTTTTTTTGATGAAATAGCTTTAAAAATCCAGACTACAAAAGTGATTAATTGTTGTCATTCCTAACATTGTGCCATTCTACAAAATGTTCAGATCAATATCATGTAATAACAGTTTACAAATACAATATTATTTCTTCAGTTTGGAGTGATAAACACGTCTTTGGAAATTACAATAAACATTATATTGGAGACAGAAAAAAAAATGTGTTGGCTCGTCATAGTTACCGTTACCAGTTAAATGACAAAAAATATAACGTTTTAACTTTTTTCTATATTTGTTAAGATTTATCCAAAATAAAAGTTTTTATCCTTTGACTTGTGTAACTATAAATGACTTAGTATGATTTATGCAATTTTACATTTATTGAGCAACAATTATTATGTTAGTTCTATTTCATTTGCCATTGTTGTTTTTATTGTTAAGTAATAAGAACTTGCTGGGGAGATACTTTTTAATATTTCAAATTTTATGTTCTTCTTCCAGCATTAACTTTGTTAAGAATTATAATTTTAGCTATGGTGTTGTTTTTGCAGGAAAATGAGCTGCTTCGAGATATTTTTGAATTAGGTGCTCCTCTTGCAAATGGTGGAATGGTCCAAAAAATCAGCAAGTTTGATAGGGTAAGGCTGTTTCAGCTTACTTATTGGTAGAACTGATTATTAATGACCAAAAGTTTCTGTTGAAAGGGACCAATGAAATAATCATACAGTTATAAACAATGATTCTTTGAGGACATTGCATCTATGGGTGTGGTCATGGCTATGGTAAGAAGTATAAGAATGTTAACTTTTTTCAATCCAATCGTGGTAGTTATTTAGGTTTAATAACCCATGGGTGGTCAGAAATTAAAGTTTTCTTTTTGCCCCTTTTTTGGATTGTTGATAATTTTTAGAGATTGTAGTAGTTAAAGTTTGGGGAATGAGCTATGACTTTTATGGAATTTTGATTATGCTTTGGTGATTTACCATGGTCAAACATGAGGAAAACCTGAGAAGTTAGGAAGTGCATTTGCTTTCAAAAACTTATTCCAATAAAAGTTTGTACCTTTTAAATTGTCCCCTAGTAAATCAGCAGTAAGTTTACGGACTTAGTATTAAAATCCAGGGGTTGATTGTTGATTCCCCATGGTGAATAGAGCACAGATTGCCCATTTTATATCTTGGCACTAAGAAATAAAAAAAAAAAAACTTTTAAATTTCTTATTAACTCTTTCACTACGGGCTCGGTCCCAGGGACCGACCTCGTAACCATTTTGTGCTTGTTATACTTTTAATAACTTTTAATACAGTAAGCATATCTTCATGAAATTTTGCAGATTATCAGTAAACATTAAAAGGCTTTTGTATGTAAAATATCAGATTTTTTTTTATATTAAGTTTTATGATTTTTTAAATGTTTTTCTCATGCATTTTTTCTTTTCAAATGTTGACTATTCAACATGCAAAGTAATTTTGATTTTAAGATTAAAAATACTTTTATGCATCAGAAAATTTTGAAATTTCATATGCAAATTCTGTATAACCTCCAGATAATCATCAAACTTTTTTAGAAAAAACTTTATCTTTTGTTTTCACTATTGTATCTCCATGTGGGTTTGGTCGATTTGATCAACCTCATAACCACCATAAAAAAATTAGGAAATAGTTATAAATTATGCTTTTTTTCATTTGGGAATGACTGCAGATTATAACACGAAAACACAAATGTTTAGTCTAAATAGCTTAAATCTCATAATATTTTACATGTATTATTTTTATTTAATTGACCTATCAGCCATGCCTGACTAACATTATAGAAGTTGCAATGACGCAGCGCATGTGCACACATGTTACCATATCCAAGAATATAAAACTGGCCTTGTGACCTGTCTTGGCTGTGTTCTAGTGAACCAATATTTTGTAAAATAGTCACATAATATAAGTATATACATTACTACTATTTACAAATAAGCTCTTAAATTTCAGTTATTTTTCTTAAAACTCAGAACAGCAAATAAAGATGTATAAAAAACAATTATCTCTTCTAGTTACAAACTTTGTACCCAGTTGCTGCTTGCCGTAAGTTGCTAAGCCTTATAAAATTTTGCAAGTGGGGGATGTAAAACCCAATTTTTTTGGGGTTTCATATATGCATTTTGAAATAACAAAAAATCATAAATTACTCTATTAATACCACAAAATTCTACTATAATTTATCAAGTTTGTATTTGGTTCTAAAAAATTATTTTTCAAGCTCGCTAATGTCTTGCCTTACTGCTTGGAATCTAGCTTGAAAAGAAAGTTTCCCATGCAAATACTTCACAGAGGCTGAAAAAATCACTAGGGGGGGACTTCTGAGCTTTCAGTTGGTTATACACGTCATTGGGTGAAGTAGGTGTATGTAAGCAAGTATTTTCAAAAATGTAAGAGGTGGGCAGGGCCACCTTGGTTGATTCAATAAATACATTAATATTTCAGAAAATAGAAAAGATAAAGGGTTCTTATCTTGTATTCTAGCTTGTCAGTATTGTTAATTTGAGGTATAATTTGTAAGAAACTATATACTTTGTAGTTGGACATCACAAACATCTAATTTGAACTAATGCTGCATTCGACATACCACTCGACACACAAAAGTCAACATTTAAGATTTTTTTATATTAACTTTTCAATTAAGAAACTAACTAATGTGTAATGCTAAAATTTGAATTATAATCTACAGTTTGATACCAAACATTGACATACGTTCATAAAATAGTAGTTTAAAAAATTTTGAATGCGAGTCTACAAATGCGATGACAGCCTTTGACCATAGTGTTAAGCAGCTAGATGTGGAAAGTTTCTATCTTGTTTTTCCCAATGAATGTCTTGTAGAATTTTTCACAAACTATAGCATGCAGAAAATACTTCTAAGATAAGATTACACTTTATAGCAGTTCAAAAAATTCTTTATTTTTTCTTCTAAACTGAATGTAATAATACAGTAAGAAGTGGTTATTGCTCTTTGATATAAGCTCTGCTGTTAGTGCATGCTTATGTGAGAGCTATGTTAACGTTTCAATTGTGTCATTATAGACGTGCTTTTTTAATGAAATGTTAGTAACATATGTTTTATATCCTTTTCACCTATATTGCATCTTTTATAATGCAGTTTAAAGCCATAAGTTATTTACACCAAATTTGCACAGATATGTTTCACAAATTTATAGTATTTCAACAAAACATTTTTCTATTAATCTGTTCATTCTTGTCTAAATTTACATTTAGAGAAAATAATCGCCCACACGCAAATGTCTCTTTTCCCGCGTGTAGGGTATGGTAGAGAGGTTTAATCTGCAAGTTTTGCATTATTTCTGTTCACAGTTGTTATACAGTATGTAATGGGATATTCTAATCTTAATAACTTAACACAAATACTTAACTTGATTTCTTTTCTTTGTAGCATATGGTAAATGTTGCAGCCTGTAAAGCCAGGACAAAATCAAGAGGCAAGCTGAGAGACAAACGAGCAGATGTTATTGGATAGATTAGATCTGTTTTTAGGAAAATTGCTGTTATCGGCGTATCTTTGTAGGTTTGGACCCTTGTTTGAGAATGACTTAGATGACAGCCACTGAAATAAAATGAAGATATTATCAACAGAACAGTTAAAATCAGCTGGAGTACAGTTTCATAGAAATCACTAATTATAAGATGCAAGGAAGTTTTTCCTTGCTAATCTACACATAAAACTTGTATTGGTTATTATCATCGTAACATTGTATATAATAGTAACAAATAGAAAGACTGAGTTGAAATAATTTTAGTTCTTCAGGAAATTAATTCTGCCAAGGAACTAGCTTCCATTATTGGGTCATTTCTTAAAATATAACATTGGACGAACTTTCATACTATATGTAAGAATATTGGAAATGTATTAAAATCCTGCAGATTTTGGCACTTGTTAAAAAAAAAAAAAAAGTTCAGACCTCATCCAGAATAACTTTTTTTTTAATACATTTTTTTTATTCCATTTTAATATTTATTTCTGATATCGGGTGCTACTGGAGTTTTTAAATTTAAACTCTCATTGTAAATTTTTAAAATGGCTGTAATACTGCAATTTTTCTATGAAATGGACTAAAGTTTATTATCTCTTAAGTTGTATTTTTGTACTTCATTGTTGTTGTTTTTGTCTTTTTTTTTTAAACATATATCAAGAAAGTAAAATAGGCTTAACAGCTTTTATTTTTATTGATAGGGATTCTTGTTAGGTGCATAGAAATGCTTCCAGCAGCTGCCATAAGTTTAAATATAATCCATCTAACAATTGTCCTTCTCCACGCTAACTTATTTCCCATTTTTCTTCCTACTAACACCCATTTCCCAATATTTTTCCTACTGTCACTCTACACATTGTTCCTCTTGGTTGAGTCAACCTTTATTTTTCTAGCTACACCTGTTCTCCATTATTATTCTTACTGCTATACTGATTCCCTATTGTCCCTTTATAGATTCCATTAATACATGTATTTTAATTGTTCATTTGGATTATACTTTCTGGTTAAATTTATTTCCATTTCCCCCATTTTTTTTTGGCTAACACCAAACCCTAGTTGTAACATCCATTTTTCCATGATATTAGTGTGTTATTAAAATTTTGGACTTTTGTACAGATATTCAAAGTTAAGGAAATGTCTGGAAAAACCCATCATGTTTTAATGGATTTTATATATATATATATATATATATATTGTTTTTCTCTTATTTTTAATAAAAAATAGTGATTTACTAGCAGTGTCAGCATCAAGACTTAAGGCAACGTCATCAGATACAACAGGAAAGCATTCGATTGATAACAAAGTTTTTTATATTTTCACATTACTTGTTAATGATTTCAAACAATTGTCAGTGTTTAAAATTGTTCTACATTAATTTTTGAACTTGCTTAGTGTGATAAAAGATGGAAATTTTCATTATTGGAAGAGATTATCAAAGTTTCTCAACAGAAATAGGAGTTTTAGTGAGAACACTAAGTGATTTGTAGCTGCTATTTGAAGTTGTGAAGTTTAAAACTGCTAAAAATATTTATAGTACAATTAGGCACAACACACTGATATTTCACTGTAATTAAGTTGTGTTTTTATAGTTTGAAAACTAGATTTTAACAAAACCAAAGTTTGTTAGCTAAAATGTGAAAAAACGTGTACCCCTTATATTAGAAAAATATAAGTAAATCAATTTATGAACAGAGGAAGGAAATGTAGACTTGTAATGTTTGAGATAGTTTGAATTGTATTTAATGTGAAATGTATGTAAAACAGTGACAGTTAAAGAGCACTTCATGTATATGTACAGATCACTTTGAATATTTCAATCACGAATAGAAAATTGCATACGAGTTTACAGATGTTTAAAGAATTTTCTTTTTGATTGTTAACCAAAATGGACAGAATTTAGATTTTTTCCCTTTATGCACTTGCAATTTGTGTTTTTTTTTTTGTTCTTAAGCTTCTTCATTTTGGATACAATATCAGGTGGTTGTGTACTCAGAGTTTTGACTAAAATTTATGTGGTGGTAGGTGTTAGAATTAGCAAGTTTTGAAGTCTATTAAAATAATTTTTGTGGTCTAGAAATGTGTATGTGGTGAGAATTAATTAAACGTGTCACTTTTCGTGCATGTCACCTAACTATTTTTACATAAAAATGTTTTTTCAATAAAGTAAGCAACAGTGGAAAACCTTGTCCCTGAAATGGTTATAGTAACAGTATGAGCTACCAGGTGGTGCATATTTCTCGTTACAGTTTTGTAATGAATGTTTCTAGTTCATATATTTCACACACTTCTATATTTAAGATTTTTTGAAGTGTTTATTGGCTCATTTTGTTTCAGTCTTTGGTAAAATTGCATAACTTTGGAATTATTAATGTTTAGTATATTTTCTAGACTTGGCTATTACGTGTGTGAAGTCCATTCTGTCAAGTTCTGGCTTCCATTGTCAGTTAGGAGTACTAACAATCTCCAACTCAGCTCTTCATTAGAAAACAAAAGAGTTGTTTGACTGATGCATAAAATGCCTTAACTGGCAAAGCATGACATTTAGTAAAAATATTCAGTACTGGAAAAGATAAACAGAAAAGGGTATAAAAGGCATAATACCCTTTAGTGTTTGAAAATTCTGTGCAACATATAAATTTGATGTTTTCAAATCAACCTATTAATTTGCTTTGCTAGTCAATTAAGCAATTGGTGCCCTGAAAATTAATAGCACTAGAGTATAGTCATGTGTAGATAATTTACACTGTGATAGGTTGTCATCCAAGCAATTGGAAAGTGCTACACCGTTATGAAGCCTGTTTAAAGCACAGGGAGTCATAATAAGCCCAGTGGTAATAGTGTGAATCTTTCATGGTTCGTAGGATTGAAATGGTCCAAGACAAGTATATAGAAACCAAATTTTTGGCTGATTAAGAATACTTCGTGTTTCGGCAGGACTGAAGAAGGTACATCAAACTGGCCAATTTGATAATAGAAATAGTCGAAGTACAAAACCACAGCTCTTCAAAAGTGATGTTTAAGTATCTCGGGGTATGTATTTTATGAGATAGACGATCTTCAATCACAGAACTAGGTCACTAAATTTGCTGTAAGTGCAAGTGTGGATTCCCATGAGAAAAAAATAGGTGCACACTAGCAAGAAGTGGTTTCAGTAGATGTGTAGCTGCTTGAAAACCACTGCTGAGAAAAAAACAACTAAACTAAAAGGTGTTGAAATGGATATTGAAAACAAACATTGGAATGAGCAAAGTTTGGAGATGTGTGCTCTTTACAGATTAATCCAAGTTCAAATTATTCAACAATATTTAACGACAGTTTGTTTGAAGGCAGGAAGGACAATGGTATCTAAAGACGCACCAGTGTTTTCATATCTTTAGTTACACGAAACGTAACACGAAAAACTTTAAAAAGCGTTTTCAACAAGTATGTATATATCAACTCTCAGCATTAACGTTTTTACTAGAATTTTTCAGTAGTAACTTATGGTGGTAGGGGGTTAAATCTACAACTGATATTGATCTGATCACGTTTAATCTGTTTTGTGAGTCAACGGCAAATTTCCGGACTTACATGATTAAAATCTGAGGTTCGATTAATCGTGGTAGATAGAGCTCAGATATCATATTGTGTAGCATTTGCGCCAAAAAAAACGACAACAAAACAAATGAAACTTAAGGCCTTCTTAGTATACTTTATGTAGTTCGTCCAATTTAAAAGATGTTTTACGTCTGAAAAAAATATAGAATGGTTTAATTCTCCCTAGTGAGTTTTAGAAATGAAAGTACATTAGGAGTTATTGTTTTATTAATTATCAAACACTTGAAAGCTTAAAAATAAAATATTATTTGTCTGGAATCAGTTTTTATCTAATATAAAAACTTTTAATCCTACTGGATCAGTGATATATCACATGAAGAATTTTAGGAAAGTTTTCGTTTTGAAACAATTATTGGAAAAGTTAGAACAATGTACTAACACAATCTAGTCTTTAAGGCTTAGTAGTTGGTGAAACTGTCAAATTTCTGCAGACGAAATGTTTCAAGTGCAATTCAGAGATGGCGCCAGGTGCAATTTTAATTCAAGTCATTGGTGCCTATTGGAACGATAACATTTTAATGTACCAGCGACAACCGCAAAATACGAAGGATAAGACGTTTTCAGTAAGTCGAACAAGCTTAATAATTTCATTTTTTAAATGTATATTAAAGAGTTATGATGGATATATACACCACTTTTAAAATATACACTTATGAAATGTAGTTGTAGAATGTTTGGAAAAGCTTAGTTTGATAATTATAACATAACATAATGTTTAGGGACATCATCTTAACTTACTAAATAAATATATAAGAATCTTAAAGTCAACACTTATCATTCATATAGTTATCAAGCTTTCTCTTAAACTCATTTAAAGTTACTGCCTCCACAAAATTCAAAGGCAACCCATTCCAGAGGCCAAACACCCTGTTAGAAAAATATAACTGTCTTAGCTGAAGATGACTTCTACCTTGCCAACATTTATATTTGTGTCCCTAGTCCTACTATTATCGCCGTTAAGTATGAAAAAATAAAGATAATGCATCAACACGATCAATTCCGTTTACAGTTTTAAACACTTCAATCACATCCCCTCTAACTCTTCTTTTTTCAAGAGAAAACAATTTCAGAGATCTCACTTCATATGATAATCCATCTATCCTCGGCACCATTCTAGTAACCATTCTCTAACTCTTTTTAACAATTCAATGTCCTTCCTAAGCTGAAGAGCTCAAGATTGAACACAGTACTCCAAATGTGATCTACCCAGTGACCTCTACAATGAAATTATAACCTCTTTAGACTCGCACTCAATATTTCTGTAGATACAACCTAAAACCCGATGAGTCCGTGTGTTATTAGTATCACTACAATGACACACACGCGCGCACACACATTCATTAAAGATAGAGTTTTGGAAAAATTAAAAAACCTAGTGTTATAACTTTTAAAATTACCTGAACGTTTTGAATTCAAATGTGAAAATCTCGTAATGAAAAGTTTATGTATAATCTCGAACCTTAATTGTAGTTGGTTATTAAATCACATTACAGTTTGTTTGTTTGTTATGTTGTTAAGCGTAAAGCTATACAATAGGCTATTTGTGTTCTGCTTATCGCTAGTATCGAAACTCGATACAACTTTGTAATACACAGAATTTCCACGGTCACTTTAAACTTAACAACCTTTTTAACACACGCTATAAATCACAGTGATTCACACACTTTACTTACGGTGCCTACTGTTCGCTTGACTCAATTATCTCTATTTTCAATCTATTTGCATATCTATCTATCTATCTATGCCATCTCTGCAATCCGGCTGGTTTTTCTCGCCAGGTTTATATACTAAAAAAAGAGGGCGCCTCGAACAAACTCGGGCCTCCCCGATAATTCATGATCCTTCCAGAAACTCCAGCGCGCACGCTCCCAGTGTCACGCGACTTCCGCTATCGTAACAATATGTAGAAAAGGTAAAATATTATGTTATTCGATTTCACAGACAAACTTTATTCATAAACACTACGAGTTTAAATATTAAAGAAAAGGTTGAAATCATCTTTTGATCGATAAATGTCGAAAGTGTAAAATATTGGTTTGAAGTTTTTTGGGTGGTTATTATACCAGGGTTGCTTGTGTTGTCTGAGAAAGGTGTTAGCTAGGACTAGTTCTAGTGGGGATCCCATGATCACTTCATTAATTTGGTCATATAGTTTTTCCATTGACTGAAAAATGGCTCTTTTTTTTTACAACTTGGGTAATTAAGCTATACGCAAGATAATCCCCTCAAAACAATTTTCCAAGCAAATGTCAGTGGAATGTTTGTGAATAAAGAAGGTACATCAAAGTTAGCCATAAAACATTCATTGGGAGGATGTAGATATTTTAACTCATTAACGAATGAGAAGGAGTCTAGGACAATAGCATTCATTAACTGTTAACAGTTTGAGAATAGGTACAAGGAATTTGGTTAGTTTGTAACTGTAAGTTCCAATTGCTGAAACGATAGGAAGTAATGGATGATTGAATTTATGGACCTTAGGGAGGCATCCATTACATCGGGTCGTGATCCACAAGGATGTAATTGATGGAACACATTACCAGTAAGAGTGTTTTTGTTTCTAACTCCCTTTATACATTTATAGCCGATATATTAATTCGAAGATACTGTCCAAATATATTATTATATATTTTTTCGTTAGATGAATATGTCGTCAAACTAAAGACAGTGAATTTAGATATAGAATTTCTATGGACTTACAAAACAGAAATTGTTATACTCAAGTTTTTTCAGTTTAAATTTTCGAATTCTATGTAGTTACCAAGTCTACAGTCAATGCCACAAATGGCTGCTGGTAGAGAAAGTAAAGTGGAAACACCGATTTAAATGTCATCTTACATTAAAGTTCAACAGGAGTAAGACTGATCTTAAGAACACCGTTACTTGTCTAGACTTTATACATTCGGTATGTTTAAAACTAATGATTTCGTTCGGAGCAGGCTCATTGTTTATTTGCTGGATTTCACGAAGAGATACTTGAGAGCTACCTGCGCTAGTTATCTTTAATTTTGAAGTGATAGACTAGAGGGAAGGCAGATAATCAAAACCACCCACTGTCAACTCTTGGGTAATCTTTTCTAACGGCTGAAAGGTCGAACATGATTGGTGACGGGATTCGAACCCGCGACTCGCAACTTGAGAGTCAAACACCCTAACAACATAGGTATGTCAGAACTCGGAGCGGGATAAAAGCAACCGAAAGTTAAAATTTGCGATTTCTAAAAATTTTCATTGAATGAATTTAAACTTTGAAGAATTTCTTTTCTTTTAATGTGTGAAAGAACGACTACAAGTTTTGTTTACTATAATTTTTTAAACTCTTTTGTGCAATTTGGCCTTAGAGGCGGAATGGGTCCATTTGGGCACGATAGAGATATAAAAGTCTGTGATTCCCTACAGGTTACAGAAGTCTTGAAGATAAAATTATTTGAGAGATGATGTCGTTAGCAAGTTCAATGGGAGTTCTCCGATCTGTT